TTTGCTTTTTTTCTTTTTTTTTTGAGGATCGTCATCCTTCAGAATTTTAGGAGGATCGTCATCCTCAGAATTTTCTGAGGGATCCCAGGGAAATTTTCGCTCAATAAGCGTTTTTTTTCATGAAAAATTGTGCCAAAAAGCGCTTATTTTCCAAAACAAAAAAACGCTTTCGAGTGAAAAATCTGAGGATCCTCAAAAAAAAATTCTGAGGATGACGATCCTCAGAGAAAAATTCTGAGGATGAGGATCCTCAAAAATTCTGAGGATGACGTCCTCAGAAAAAATTCTGAGGATGACGAACCTCAGAAAAAATTCTGAGGATCCTGAGAAAATTCTGAGGATGACGATCCTCAGAAAATTCTGAGGATCCTCAGAAAATTCTGAGGATGACGATCCTCAGAAAATTCTGAGGATGACGATCCTCAGAAAATTCTGAAGATCCTCAGAAAATTCTGAGGATGACGATCCTCAGAAAATTCTGAGGATGAGGATCCTCAGAAAATTCTGAGGATGACGATCCTCAGAAAATTCTGAGGATGACGATCCTCAGAAAATTCTGAAGATCCTCAGAAAATTCTGAGGATCCTCAGAAAATTCTGAGGATGACGATCCTCATAAAATTCTGAGGATGACGATCCTCAGAAAATTCTGAGGATGACGATCCTCAGAAAATTCTGAGGTTCCTCAGAAAATTCTGAGGATGAGGATCCTCAGAAAATTCTGAGGATCTTCAAAGAGTGTGAGGATGAGGATCCTCAAAAAAAGCTGATGATTCCTCAGGAAAATCTGAAGGCTTCTCCGAAAATTTTGAGGGTTCCTCAGTAAATTTGGAGGAATCTCCAGAATTGTTTGTTTGGTAACCATCAAAAAAGTTCTGATATATATATATATATGAAATTATGCTAATCAAGGATCAGTTTTTGTTGCAACACATCAGCTACAAAGTCCGAGGATATTTTGTAGCTGATATTTTCAGCGCAAATTGCGACTGTTTTCTGCGGATATCACCAGCATCTCATCATAACCTTTCTAAGGATATCATCGGAAATATCATCAGAAGTTTGTGAGGATTATCGGACCTGTCTAAGGATATCATCAGAATGGACTCATCAAAATTTCAGCAGAAATTTAGCACGTTACCAGCCATAAACTCTGGGGATATCATCAGGATTTTCTGATACCAGCCCAGAGGATCAGCATATAGTTTCTCATCAGGATGTCACATGATATTATATCACCAAAGTTTTCGGAGGATAACATCAGAATTTTACTATAGGGACCGTTTTTTTCAAAATTTGAGAGCAGCAACGCTTCAAACCGTTTGGCTTTGAAAGATTGGGGCGGTTGTCCTCAGACTTGTTTGTTCGTTATTGGTGCCCGCATGCCAACATGAATATGTTGTTTCTTCATGAAGCGTTTGTTCGTTTGACTTTCCGGGATAATGATAATAACATTTAGTTGTGAGAATGCTGCTCAGGATCATCCAGCGGATAAGATGCTCAGGATCATCCAGCCGAGAAGCATGCTATAATGAGATTCCATTGCAACAAAAATAAAACTTAAATGACTATATCAACGC